GGTGCTTCCGTTAGTTACAAATGTTGATGTGCTATATAAAACACTGCCATCTATTGGGAACATCTGGTAATCAAAAGCAACAAATAAAAACAGTAAGTTTGCTTTTTAATAAATGTAGTTATGCTCTTTGTCATAGCATATTAAGAATATAAGAATCACATAGACCCTTCTATCAAGGATATTAAAATCTAGTAAAGGATACAAATGAAGACAGAATTAATTACAGCAAGTTGTGAAATTATAAGGACGACAGTGATAAGTGCTAAAAATGTGCAAAGTAAAGGAGCAGAGAGGGAATACAGAAAAGGTGTAATTCATTTTGAATAGCGAACTAGGAAACACTTACTTTTTTTTAAGACTTTATTTATTTATTTGACAGAGAAAGACACAGCAAAAGAGGGAACACAAGAAGAGGGAGTGGGAGAGGGAGTAGCAGGCTTCCTGCTGAGCAGGGAACCCGATGCGGGGCTCCATCCCAGGACCCTGGGATCATGACCTGAGCTGAAGGCAGACGCTTAATGACTGAGCCACCCAGATGTCCTAGGAAACACTTAATAAAAGAAGTGATATTTGGCAGATTCATAAGAATAGCAGGTTTTCAACAGACGAACGTGTGGAGTGATAAAGATATGTAATTTTGCATTTATAACTCTTAATCTCATAACCAATAATATATTCTGCCTCCAGTGAGATGAATTTCATCTCCAGAAAAGAGTCAATGGTACTGGAAAGAAAAAGGGGAAGGAATGGATAGTTTTGTGTGGCTGGAACCTATTATAGCTAAGGAACATGTAGAAGTTAAAATTAGACAAATAGGTCACAGCTCCAATAGTCTCTAATGTCCAGATAAGGAATTTAAACATTTTCTTCAGATAACAAACAGCAAGCCATCAACAGTTGATGGGCATAGTAGTGATGAACCAACCATACAGTTGGAGTTTCATTATATGATGGATATATTATATGTTTAGATGTTATATAATCTATATTATATATAATATATATTCCTGTATCATATATCAAGATATACATTTCTATAATTGTATTACATATGCAATAAACAAATGTATAATATATTTTATATATTTAGTTTATATACATTTAACTTATATAGTTTATAATATTTATATTATATGGAAAATTATAGCTTTTTAAACAAAATATTTATAAATTTATATTGCTTATGTATATATAAAATACATAATATCATGTGTCTGTGTGCATATATACAGAAAGTATTAGCAGCAGGCCTGCAATCTATTTGCTCCTTTAACTGGTGGTACTCAGTAAAGAAAGATGTCCTAGTCAAATCCCATTTCAACTTGCTAATGACAGACCTCCTGGTAAATGTACTAATGATATTCATTTGACCTTATCTTCATAAAGCTTTTAGCTGATGGATGTGGTCTCTTTAGGTAGCTCAATGTAAATAATCCTAGAATGTATGGATTCCTATGGCATGGCTCCCTGAAAAACATCACTGAGTTATACAGGTATCACGCTATAAAATAAAAACATTATATGATTAAAATAGCTCTTTTTTGTAAGTGATGCCCTGCATGTTTCTTTTTGAGAATTCCTATGTAAAATCTGGGCCAGAGCCAACCCAAAATGGCAAGAAAGGACCTGGAAAGCAGTGATGGCAGTTCCAGGCTTCTCCGTGCTTCACCTGTGTCTCACAACTACCTGTATCCTTGAAATTCTTAAGTTGGATATTAGCTAAAATCTCTGATTTTTGTCATTTTGAATATTTCAACCCTTTGTGTTTTATGTATATGTGTTTATGTTCCTATGTGTACATGTATTTTTAAGTTATATGGTAAAATATGAACATGTCCCAAACAACCATCGAATTCCATCTCTATTATCAAAACACCTTTATAGTTTGTAGAATATCCTTCCGTGAATATGCATCCCACTCTACCCAAACCTAAAATCTAAACGTAAGCAAGAACTCTGTTAACTATATCGATAGCACCTAGAACTATGTGGTTGGCATATGTTCACTAAATGAATGGATGAAAATATATTGCACATTTTTTCTTTACATAAACGGGATTGTGCTATATATAGAGGACAACTTCCTTTTTTAATGAGAATATAACATATCTTTTAAGTCCAGTTCATACAGCTCTACCTCCTTCTTTTTAAAGGCTGCAATGTAGCATTTTATGGTATGAATATAATTTGTTAAACCATTTCATCTTTTGTTGGACATCAGGCTTGCTTCTAACATATTTTGCATTAACAAGAAAACTACAGTGAACACTGTTATTATTATATCTATGTGTTTGTGCTATTATTTCCATACATTAGAACCCTAGAAATAAAAACACAGGGTTGATTTTAGTGAGTGCTTTCAAATTACATTCTTTTTTCACTTTTGCCAATCTGATAAAACGCTCACGTCCTCTTAAGCATCTTTTCTATAATGCTCAGTATGTTTATTTCTACCGTGAAATGCTTCTCTAAATTTTTAAAGACGTTTTATTTCTTATTAATCATAATAACTATTAAATATAAAAGACATCTATTTTATGTGCTAAAAATAACCTGTTATTCTGTCTTATATTTTAACTTTTTGGAGCCATCTTTACTGGGTAGAAGTTTTTAATATTTAGAATCCAAATGTACCACATGTTCCCTTTAGAACCTTTGGAGTTTTGCATTTTGCTTAGAGAAGCTCTAAAAAATGCTCTCTTACGTCTTCTTTAATGTACTGAGAGTTTCGTTTGATACAGCTAAATTATTAACCATCTAGAATTTTATGGTGGATTTACCAGATGAAAACACACTATTTTAAAGCATTTTAAAATGCAATATTAACTTCCTAAAATTTTGCACTCCATCTTTTATATTAAATTCCCATACCTAGACCTGGATCAGAGCTGTTTAGCATATGAAATATAAAAGAAATGATATCTAACTAATGATTGGGGTGAGGGAGAGTGTTAAGGAAGAAGAAAAACTTGAGTGTGACTCCCAGGATTTGGGCTTGAGAACCAAATGGACTGTTATGCCATATATAAGTACACAGTGAAGACGGCGGAGTTTCTGACATGTTTAACAAAAGATGTCTATGGGATATCAACATAGAAACATACAACTGCATCTGGATATGCCTAGAAGTCAGGGGGTAAGATTTGGACTATACAGATTTAGGTAACACAGGCAAATAAGTGTTTATTTCCCAGAGGTATATATTCAGAATGAAAAAGGATGGCAAGTGACAGAGACTTGGAGAATGTAAACATTTCAAGGATGAGAAAAGGAGATAGCAAGGGAGCCTGTAAGAGCAGCTAAGTAGGTGGGGAAAAAAAATCATGTGAAGAAAACCAGAGCAAGGTGACATCATGGAACAAAAGGGAATAAAAGTTTCAAGACTGAGAAAATGATAAATTATATCAAATATCACAAATGAGTAGTATTAAAAAGTAAAAAAAAAAAAGATTTGGTTTGAGGACTGTCTTTTTGATTTGATAAATGGCAATCCTGGTAAAAACATTTTATTACCTATGTTGGAACAATAACCAGTCTGCAATGGTTGGAAGTCAAAAGAGAAATAGTGAATACAGATTAATATTTGCAGAAGACAAGTGGTAAAAAGAGCTTTATTAGTCAGAAGTTGTTGGAGAGGGACAGGTTTAAGGGAGGTTTTTTGATAAAAAGGAGGACTTCGCAGTTCTTTCAAGCTGAAGAGACAATACCCACTGAGAGGGAGAAGTTAAAAGACACACAGGAAAGAAAAGGGATAATGGAGGGAATGAAAGGAATGGGGTCCAAGGCAAGTGGAGACCGGGCCTCTAACCGAAGAACAAGGGATGGAATGATGAATACAGATATGGGGAGGGGTTTGAGGTTTCTTTCTGGGTGGGGAGAAGGGCAACGGATGGGAACTGAGGGAATTCAAGAATGAAGGACTCTTATTTCCATTCAGTAAAAATACTGTCCTGTAAGAATGAGGCATGAAGGGTAGGGAAGAATGTGGGAGGAGTCTGGTGAGCTTGGAAATGACTCACTTTAGGGAAACAGAAGAAAAGCAGCTTAGAAGTTCTGGTAGGTAAGGTAGGTAGGTAAGTCTGGAGTCTATGAATGTAAAGTGACTCTGCTTATCACTGTGTGATCTTTTCTGCAGAGGCATATACATGGTTCAGTTGATTGATGGTTGGAATTTTGCCAGGTAGTCAGGGGTAAGTAAATTAAGGTCACTGACAAAAGAAAAATCGGTCATAGAGTCTTGGCTATTTCAGAAAGAAAACAAAAACAGGAGAATATGGATCAAAGACGGTAAGAGATGGAAAGTGAAGGAATTAGAGTTCTTGACTAGGTTGAAAACTAGTTTTCATCTATTTTCTACACATGGACAATCTACCAACAAATGTCATTTTAATACTCATGGGTATTCCAAGACACTTTATCTTTTTACTTAATGAAAAGAAGGGCTGGCAGAAAATAATCACGATACATTGGTAAATTCACCAATTTTTGTTTGGACTATTTATGAATAGCCACAAAGCTCTGAAACTAGAGACAGCGTATACATGTCTTTTAAAAAAAAAAATGATTAAGACTATGCACACAAGGTGATTATATTTTATTTTATCTAGTATATCAGAAAAATTATAAATCATGTTCAGATTTTTTCAGGGGGTAGAAGTTAAGTGCAGACAGGAGAGAAGTGGAGGAAATCACTAATATTTGCCTATGTTCTATTATATCTTAATACTGCTTAGTCAATTATTAGACTTGGCTTTGCAACAATGGCTTAAAAGTTTTCCTGTATTTACTTTTGTTAATTTATAGACACTTCAATAAAATAAGATTTGGAAGGAAGGAAGAAAGAGAACTTTCAATATGAAAACAAAATACCTAAAACTTTCTCCACACTAAAATTAACTTTATTCCCATGAATAATACATATTAATATTTTTGAATGCTATTTTTAAGCTTAAAAACTTAATCGTCCCTCCAAAATAAGCTTAAAAATAACTTCCTCTTACCTGCCGTAAAGTACGTGCCACTATGCTTTCTAATACTGGTCCTCTATCTTCATGCAGCAAATGAACTTCATCAAGAATAAGGAGCTTCACAATTTGGGAAAGAGCTACATCTCCGACACTCTTTCTTGTCACTACATCCCATTTTTCTGGGGTGGTCACAAGCATCTATAAGATAAGACAAATTAAAAAAAAAAGAAAAAGTCACATAGGTAATATAAATTTCAAATGTGTCATTCAAAAAGAAATATGATTGGCAACGATTATACAGATCAAATAAAAAGTGTTTAAAATATCCTGGAATGATATATAATTCACTGTAGACACTGTCACTTCAAGAGTAATATTTCATTTCATTTAGCTTCACTTAAGTTGTGATGTTAAGTCATTATTTAAAACTCAATGATGATAGTCTGTCAAAAAATTGTAGTGAAGTGTACAAAATACTATCTTCTTTGAAAAGTGTCTTATGATGTAAAAAAACAAATGATTCTGGGGTGCCTGGGTGGCTTAGTTGGTTAAATACCTGCCTTTGGATCAGGTCATGATCCCAGAGTCCTGGGACTGAACCCCGCTTTGGGCTCCCTGCTCAGTGGGGCGTCTGCTTGCCCCTTTCCCCCTGCCCCTCCCCCGCCCCTGCTCATGTGCTATCAGATAAATAAATAAAATCTTTAAAAAAAAAAAACAAAATAAAAACAAATGATTCTATCTTTTAAACTGCATACATTGATAATGGTCTTTATTTGAAAAGGGACAACAAAGTAAACCAAGTGTTAAAAGGCAATAAAAAGGAAATCAGGAATCCACTCTAGGAATGATCACCTGTTTATACCTATCCAAATGTGAAGGAAACTTTACTAATGACACAGTTTTCAAAAAATTGCCCTTTGATATCAACTAGTATATGCACTCTTTAATACCCAAAACTAATACATATAATACAGCCTAACTGGCACATAATGGCAACCCAAGGACTGAGTCACTGGAGATTCTAGGGTGTGTAGAGCAGAAGGTAAGCCTGAGGCATTTATGTGAACTTCACAGTAGCAGACCATTTAACGTGAAACTGTAATGATAATTCTCTTTGCTTTTCACATATTAAATTGTTTGTGTCCTCTAAAATCATCCTGTTGCAGAGAAAAAGATGACAAGTTTAATATACCTTCTACTATAGTAACACTACATTAGGAAATAAACCAGTATGTGGATAATTCAAAGAATACTAGATAACAAATCAAAAGCAAGGCCTCTCATGGCCAGTATATCAGGATTAGAGACTGATGATAGTCACAACTGAACTGTGCTTTGAAGGGGTTAACTGAGATGAGAGTCAGATTGCTCTCTCAACATTTTTGTTATTTCACGTCTGATTAAGTCACCTATGGGGACAATAATAATCTTATTTTTTTTTTAGATTGGTACAAGTTATATATAAATTCTTAAAAATCCAGAGTCTAAATTTGTCAATATGACCTGTTGCATTATTAGAGCTACCAATGCTATCATTATGAAATGGACTGTATCAACGACAACATTTAGAAGCTGTACTTGAACAGAAATTAACTGACAAACTATAATGAATCAGATTAAGGAATTCATATCTAAAATATGAAATACTATAAATCCAAAGCTACTTAGTTGAAAGTTGCTAAAGCTAAACGGCAATGTTGAGATCACATCAAATTTTATAGAAAAGATATGCTGCTGGAATTAAGTATAAACAGATGTATAATAAATTGAGATCTAAAATGGGTAAAAATATTCACTGAATTAAAATCTCTTGGAACAAATTTAAATTGAATTTCTACTTTGAATAATGACAAACTTAAAATAATCCAAGATGTATTAATATAAATACACCCAGCAATTACTTACTAACAATCCTTTTCATTAAAAATCCTGGAAGGATGCTGATCTGTTTTCAAAACAATTCTCCTACACTGTACATTTAATATCAAAATTTAAATAAGTAAGCTTATTAAGTCACAAATGTTAGGAATGACACAGGCACACTTTTAAATAATAAATACAAAGCTTGGTTACCTACCTCACCATGAACTTAGACTATTAGGCTAATACTGTCTTATAATTAACTTTCAGAGATGACAATGTGGCAACAAATTGTAAAATCAAATTTTTCAGATATCAGAAAGCTATACCAAGGAAACCTTAAAAATCTATTTTAGCATTTTATTATACTTTACTTTCAGCATAATGAGAAAAGGCTTCATTTTTTTTTTTTAAAGATTTTTTTTTTTTTTTTTTTAATTCATGAGAGACAGAGCGAGAGAGAAAGGCAGAGGGAGAAACAGGCTCCCAAGGAGCAGGGAGCCCGATGCGGGACTCAATCCCAGGACCCTGAGATCATGACCTGAGCCGAAGGCAGACGCTTAACCATCTGAGCCACCCAGGCGCCCAAAGGCTTCATTTATACTACTAATTCATCACTTCAGTACCCTGAACTTAAAATGGCTAGAACATAAAGTGTCACATTTGCTTAATGAATTGGAACTCATGCAAGACATTTCCATCTGCTCTTATATTGGGGCATGGGTTAACTGTCAACATTTTTACTGTCAGCTTAAATTTCTCTCAATATATGTACTTACTCCCTCAGAAATACAAAAATCATTACTTGAAACTGTTCTTATTTTATCCTGTCCACTGGGAAAATGGCATAGTTGTGATGCTATATACTACCACTGGATCAAAAATTTGGTGTATTTAGTTTTTTTTTTTTTTTAAGATTTTATTTATTTATTTATTTTATTTATTTGACAGAGAGAGACACAGCGAGAGAGGGAACACAAGCAAGGGGAGTGGAAGAGGGAGAAGCAGGCTCCCTGTCGAGCAGGGAGCCCAATGTGGGCTCGATCCCAGGACCCTGGGATCATGACCTGAGCCAAAGGCAGACGCTCAACGACTGAGCCACCCAGGCGCCCCTGGTGTATTTAGTTTTAAAATGCTCATCCATTTGACAGAAATACCAAATGACCTAAGATCTGCCAGAACCAATTCATCTGGTAAATTCACTTAAAAAACATTAATAATAATAATAATAATAATAATAATAATAGTAACATTATATAGTAATAATAAATAATAATAGTAATATTATTATTTCACCTTTTAAAACACTATGACCTAAGGGAAGTCACTTCATCTCTTCTTCCTTTTATTTTTATGTTTATTTTCCAGCTTTGAGATATTGAGATTTAGGTTGTTTATCGGAGATTTTTCTTTATTCTTGAGGTAGACCTGTATTGCTATAGACTTCCCTCTTAGATCCACTTCTGCTGCATCTCAAAGATTTTGGACCATTGTTTTCATTTGTTTCCATGTAATTTCTGATTTCTTCTTTGATTTCTTGGTTGACCCATTCATTATTTAGTAGCAAGTTATTTAACTCCCACGTATTTGTGTTCTTTCCAGATCTTTTCTTCTGGTTGATTTCTGTTTACACAGTGTTGTGGTTTGAAAATATGCATGGTATGACTGATTTTTTTGAATTTGTTGAGTTTTGTTTTGTGGCTTAATATGTGATCTATTCTGGAGAATGTTCCATGTGTACTTGAAAAGTGTGTATTCTGATTTAGGATGGAATGTTCTGAATATGTATGTTAAGTCCACCCGGTCCAGTGTGTCTTTCAAAGCCACTGTTTCCTTGTTCATTTTCTGTTTAGATGATCTGTCCATCGATGTAAGTGGGATGTTAAAATCCCCTACTATTATTGTATTACTATTGATTACTTCATGTTTGTTATTAACTGTTTTATGTATTTGGGTGATCCCATGTTGGGTGCATAAATATTTACAATTGTTATATCCTCTCGTTTGGTTGTCCCTTTTATTCTTACAGTGTCCTTCTTTGTCTCTTGTTACAGTCATTGTTTTAAAGTCTCTTTTGTCCAATGTAAGTGTTGCTATTCCAGTTTTCTTCTGATACCCATTTGCATGATAAATGTTTCTCTATCCTCTTACTTTCAATCTGCAAGTGTCTTTCACAGTCTGAAATGAGTCTTGTAGGCAGCAATAAATGGGTCTTATTTCTTTATCAACTCTGTCACCCTATGGCTTTTGATGGGAGCATTCAGTCTGTTTACATTCAAAGTAATATTGATAGATATGTATTTATTGTCATTTTATTACTTGTTTTATGGCTATTTCCACTATCAAGTGAATTTTTAAAATATGTCTTTCGATTAATGAAATATGGTATACTTAGTTGAAAATGGTAGGGATCTATTAATTAAACTAAAGAGGAATATTCAAGAATGCTTGCTTAATACATCTTCTCGGGCGAAAATAGTATTCTGGAATTGTTAAAATCACATTCTAATGTTATAGATGTAGACCAGCCAATAGTTCGCAAGATTTAGGAATTCTATCTTCCTTCCTTTTTAAAATACTCAACCAACAAGTTTATAAATTACATAAATGTTTTAATATAAAGAATAAAGTTAAAATGTCACACGGTTTAGATTCAATAAACATACATATAATTACAGTTATACTAACCTCTGCTATACAAATGTCAGCTCTGATTGATGGCAAGAGCCCCCATAATGGAATCTGACAGCCTGCAAATTATACCTGCCCCTGGGGACACTACAACAAACCAGTTAGTTCCAACTATTTCCTTTTCTACATTTTTATGTTCCTTCCTCTCCCATCAATTCACATGCATGAGTACCTGCTCACACATGTAAAACACAAAGTCTTCTGAAGTATCTAGCTTTATTTATTTATATCAAGGACCACAGCTTTCAATTATAAGATAAAAATATAGAAATTAATTGGAAAATCTTCAAGTAGAGATATATTCTTACTCCATATTCTTTGTTGAAAGTACAGATATGATCAAGCTAAAGCATAAAGAACGTAACCTAAAATGCATCTTGGTATTTTCATGTTAGCAAAAAAAACTCTAATACTATTTTCAGTTAATATTTCATAGGTAACATTTACTAAATAAACAAAGGGTAATTCAATAAGAAATCCGAAAACTTTTGAAGGAACAGAGCACACAGTGCTGGGAGTAAGGAAGAAACATTTGAAATACTTTCTAGACTACACATGTTTACAGCTGTAGTGTAATTCTCTTTGCAGTTCTTTTGTTTATTTAAAACACTTTCCAAATGCCTCAGGACATACATACTTAAGTCTAG